CTTCATGATGACCTACTTTATTTAATGACACCCTATCTCTCATTTCCTTTATATTTACAAATTTCATAGGATCCTAAAAACTTTCGGCAAACTTTTAACCCTGGACTAAATTGGGTACCTACGCTTTATAGCTACTAGGTCTCCTTTTCTGTATACCTCAGCCTTTTTTCTTCGAAGATTGTATCTTTTCTTATTCTCTTCTTGGGCTTTTAGTATTTGTCGCTTACCATCTTCCCTAATTTTATTCCTGTGTTCGTCAAATTCAGTAATCACTTCTTTCTCCAACATTTCTTTAATCAGCAAGTCTTCTTTGTGTCTCATCTTGATACCAATTAAAACCTCAAACGGTGTAACGTTAATGCTTCTTTGTAAAGTGCAGTTTAGGGATCTTTGGACACGATCAAGAAAAATAAATCGTGCTGGCTCTTCCAAACTTAGCTTTGTGAGAATTGGGACAATAGTTCGATTTATACGTTCGGCTTTTTGGAACTCCAGTTGTAATTAACACATGTTTAATCTTTTCATCTGCACAATATTCTTCAAATTGACTACCCGTGAATGCTGTACCTCTGTCGCTAATTATTCTAGCTGGATTGCCAAAAGTCGTCTGTTGCTGCTTCAAACATTTCACAACTTCTTTGGATTTTGTCGACCTGGTGGCATAGAGCCATGTTAGCTTCGAAAAATATGCCGATTATTTTTATTTACACTCGGCAATGGCCCTGAATGGTCATTATGGTAGGTGTGTAAAGGACCTTCCATCTTGGGTATAGGATGTAATAATCCTTCCTTTCTGTCTCCTTTTTTGCTTCCTTAAATACAGGCAACACAGTTTCTGATACAAGTTTGTATTTATTTATGTGGAACTCTCCCTTTACTACTTCTTCGGTTCTAGCCACCGCAAAATGCCCAATGTCATGAGCTGTTTTGATGATTTCCATCTGCATAGATTTTGGTACTACCACTAACTCTCTACCAGCTTAGTACTTGTACAACATTCTGTTCTTCAAGAAATATCCATCGTACTCGTTTTCAATTTCTGAGATCTTTCTAATAATTTTAATCAACTCATCTCTATCTTGAACTATCTCAATTTGTTTCAAAAATCCGTCTTCTTTTATACGCAAATTCCTTACAGTATTTCTTTATTTGTTGTCCACTTTGGTTCCAGGCATATCAACTTCATCTACGTATTTGTCCTCATATTTTTCATCCTCATCTGAGATCACAGCATGTAGTTTTCCTATAACAGTTATTATTTCTTCTAGCTCTTCACACTTTCATCAACCATCATTTGCATCAGGAAGTTTTCCTTTTTCTTTTTAAATAAAATAATTCCATCATCAGTTATTTTTAAATCAACTCGAGTTAGTGCGTCATTTCCGATAATCACTTTGAAACTTGAAGCATTTGTTGGTATCACATGAAATTTTAACGTGACTTCTTCATCATTAATAGTCACCTCTCGTTGGAAAGATCCTAATGCGGATACTTTGTTCAGAACAATTCTTTTAATTGAAATCGAATCTTCTAGTATAGTATCCTGAAAATATTCTTCAGCTACATCTTCTCGTACAGCACCTATATCACTGCCGGTATCTAACAAGGCTCTCAACCTCATTGAAATTTACTTTCACGCTATTTCTTGGTACAACCCTGATGATTCTGACATTGTTGCCACTATTTTTTTTTTTGACATTTAGATGCTATGTTCCTTTGTTTTTATTAGGACACTCATTGGATTTATGGCCCTTCTCGCCACAACTTATTGGTTTAGGATTCTGTCGATCTTTGATTTTTTTCTTTTCAAATTTATTATTCTTATTATGGTAAGGCAACTTTTCCACTTCAGTAGTTCTGTTTGATGTCGCTTACTCGTAGAGCTTGATATTCTCTTTAAATTCTGAAAATTTCCTTGCTCCATATAAAAGAATCTTGTTTGATGATTCATCGCGAATACCATCAATTATATACTGAATTATTACTTCTACCTCCAATATTGCTCTGTTTCCAATTTCTCTCATGACTAAAGCATACTCTTGTACCGTTTCTGTGAAATTCTTCTTCTTTTCCATAAGCAACTTGTGAATTTGTGCGCTGCTAATTTTAACCTCAAATTCACTCAGAAGTCCCTTCTTTGAAATTGACCAAGATTTAATTCCTTCTTCTGCTTGTATAAACAACTTGGTTATTCCTATTGGCGATTTCTTCAAAATCACTGATCCACTTGTTTATGGGATAATCTCGGGGATAATCATCCTTACCGCTGAAAGATCTAATGCTATCCTCAATGTCACGAAATGTTAAAGCGAATGAATTAGTCGGCGTAGGTCTTAAGCGAGCTTGTACTACTGCTAAGGGTTCATCGTCTTCATCGTCTTCCTGGTCATCGTCCTCATGGTCATCGTCTTCATAGTCATCGTCTTCATGGTCATCGTCTTCATATTCAACTTCATTGTTATATTAATTATTTTCTTCTTGAATATCTAGCTTATCCATAAAAGAACAAATTCTATCCACCAGAGCATCTCTCGAAATATCAAAAAATCCAAATTTAAAATATGACAGGCGGCTATCAGTTCAGTCTTTTTGTGTTTGTTTATATTCATCATCTTTGTCATGTACTCTTCTGAGTAAGCTTCTTATTGAAATTCGAAATCCAGAGTCCAGAATCAACAAATTTGAAAAGCCCGACAGTAGTGCAAAGATTGCGCCATCTATCATAAAAATGCCTTAAAGCCTTATGTAAAGTAGGTGTCTGTAGCGTCGATGCAAAACTAGTAAATAGTGATTTTTCCAATGCAGTGGATGGCGCTGGCTTGGCTAAATTTTGTTGGCAAAAAAATTTGCACTGAGATTCCATTCTCGACAGTTTATATAGTATTTATCTCTGGACTCCGGACCGGATTTTCAGAGAAAATTCACATGAAACGTCGCGAGCCACTCACAAACAACAGCACTGTCATCTTCCATTGACTTCCATGGACGTCGTTCAACCGGTTCAACCGTTCTCTTATTTTCTATCCCGAACGAGCCCCCAAAATGTATAGTCTTTTTTTCTTGTTGTCTAGGGTTTCTTCCATAAAACGTCTTGCAGATAATTAACAATTTTAATCAGGTACTTCACTTGAATCCTGGGCACGGGCACTTACATTTTCGCAAGGAATAGAAGACACTAAGGTTTACAATAATCACTACTAATCAGTGCTAATTATTTTTTTTTTTTTTTTTTTTTTTTATGCTTTCTAGTCAGAAACCACCACTGTGGTTTGTCGACAAAGCCTCGAATATCACATTCAAACCAAATCAAACAAACAAACAAACAAACATCCATGCACCTAGCCGGGATTCGAACCCGAGACCCACTGCATGCAAAGCGAAGACACAACCGCTGAGCTGCTTGGGTCTGTAATAGCTCGTCATAATCGTCGTAATCATTGTCGTTACGTCTTCACTTCTTTTAATTAGGCAATTCAATCCATCTGTCAGATAGGAAAATTCAATATGACGTGGCGGCCAAGCAAGTTTGTTTTGAATGTGTTTTTATGCGTATTTCAAATTATTTTGCTTATAGTTTTGCTTGCAACTTTGATTTGGATATTTTTTTGTGCTTTTTGGCCCATGTGTGGCCGCCACGCCATCTTGAAAGTCACGTGGTTTGAATTGCCTAATATAAAACATATCTATTGATTACGCGACTTGTCGTTACCGTCGTTACATTCATCTTCTGTTTTTCGTCGCCTTCTCGTCGTCCGTCGTCTTCCTGAATGCCCGCTCCCCTTTTTGCTGTGTGTTAAAAATGTTCATGTACCATGACCAGTAAGCAATTATGCAAAGCATGATAAAACAGATTCCTACAGTCATGATATCCCAATGATATTTCAATAATCAGAATTCTCAACTGGAAGAGGAAGAATCAATTGTTACCGATCTTATGCAAATCTAAGGCAGTATTGAGGAAGTTTCTGAAAACCTACGGAAGCACGAAGCGATATTCTCAATGGTTTTACTAATTCTGAATCGATTCGTCATGATAGCCAAATGATCACATATCTCAATAATTAGAATTCCCAACTGGAATGATTTTACTAATTCTGAAATGATTGGTCATGATATCCAGATGATGTCATATCTAGTTTTGGAAGATCTCAGAATTCTCAACTGAAAGAGGAACGATCAATTTTTACCGAGCCTATGCAAATATGAAGAAGTATTGATGAAGTTTGGAGAATTCTGAATAAATAGGTGAAATTATTTGAAAAATCTGAGCAAGTTCATAAAATATTCATCAAAGAATAGAGGATATTCACAGGGATATCTTTATTCAACGATGAAGCTCATGTTGTTCAATTTTCCTGATACCTACCACACATATATCTTGAACGCATTTTTAGAGAGGTGGTTGATGGGAGACAGCATATTTATAGCAACTTCTACATGTTTTGAATGTCTCATGAGATCTCCATGAAGTGTATTCTTTGTTCTTCTAGCCTCATTAGTTCTGGGTACATCTTTGCAATATAATCCTTCCATTATAAAGGCTCTTTATCATTATCAACATCATCAAGTGGCTTCTTGCTTTGACGTCTTCAACTGAAGTTCGCCGTCTTCTTTAGATTAAGATAAAATCTAGCTGATTCTTGGTGTATCATTAAATCAAGTAGATAGTAGATAATTCCTATTGCAAACTGTAGGAAATATTTGTTTCTTCTCTTTCATCTGCATTGAATCCAGGAAGAACGCCATTCTCCATCGAGAAAAGAATACTATGCTAATATTTGTAACGTAGTTGTTAGGCTGACAGAGACTTTTTGATATTAAAAATGATGTTGAGTATACTAGCTACTTCTGATGAAAATAAGTTGAAACTGAATGGCGAGCTCGTCTTCTGATGATAATGTCGATGTACAAGCTGCATAAACATAAATATGTTCTGCAGCTTGTACATTGAACTTCATGGACAATCGTTCATTTTTTATTATCGTGGTTGTTTGTTCCAGATTGTCCGAATCCCAGAAACCAAAGACGGCCTCCTAGACTTAACCGATCTCGAAAATCAATTAAGACTGCACCAAAACTGCGGAAGACAATTAATCGGTTGTTTCTCAGTTGCGTCCAGCGTAACCGGCATCTTTTACGACGACGTTACTTGCACGATTTTGTTGCACCAATATGGCGCTCTGGCGTTTTGGGACTACAACATGGGCGCGCCTAATGTCCAGATAGACATGAACCCCACAGTACAAGGAGTTGAGGATAATAGTTTAGCGCACAAGGATGCTGTCTATTTTTCTGGACACAAATTCGTTGGTGGTGTTCAAACGCCAGGTAAGAATTGAAAAAATAATAAAATAAGGGCAAAACTAAACTAATAAACACAACTTATATTGCCTAGGATTCACACTTAGTAATAATTAATCTATGTCATTTTCATTGAAAATTTTCCTGTTTACAATTTATCACACAAACAGTATGACCTGTCCCAAAATTGGACTTATTCCCATTTCCTACTCAGCAATTTAATGTTGCATGCCCAAATTCTTAGATATATTTATAATATATCGTCTAGTACGTTTGCCAAAAAGTGAATTTCCAACTAATTGAATGTGTATGTGGTTGGTTTCTAGGTATTCTGATAGCAAAAAAGTCGATTTTTAGACGTCTTAACACTGGCGAGCCAGACGGATTTTTCGCTTCCAGTGAACATGAAAAAGTAAGTATAAAATCGATGAGAAAGTCATTATAGGTTTCAAGTGCTACTGACACATTATAGTTTTGTTTTAACTAGTAATTTTCCTACAAGTTGCAACAAACCTAATGATAAATATGTAGTTTGCATGTAAAATTTTTATTAGAAATTGTTGTTTCTAACGCGTCAAATAAGTTCAGTGACATAGGGCGTAGACTCATTTGAAATTCATCAACAAACCAACAAATGATTTATGAAAGCTTTTAAATTAATGCTAATTTTGCGCTTTTGTTTTTTTGCATCTATTTAAATACAATGACAAGGTCGCAATAATAAATTTTGTTCAAGAGGAAAATTTTTACAAACGAAACTGATTCCTAGGGCTTTGAGCTGCAAGAAGAAGGCAACTGTGCAGCTGTAATCGAATCCATTCGATTCGGACTAGTGATGCAGCTTAAAGAAACTGTTTCAGCCGCTCATATTCAGCAAAGACAAGAAAAAATAAACAAGTAAGTGGAACAATAATCCAACAATTTTGTTTTAATTTTTTTTTTATACAGACAAATGCTGCAACACATCCGTACCATCCCTGAAATAATCCTTCTGGGCAACACGTCGCCAAATCTAAAAAGAGTCTCCATCTTCTCTTTCATGGTGCGCCATCCTCGCGGGACGTTTTTGCATCACAATTTTGTCTGCGCAGTCCTAAACGACGTTTTCGGAATACAAGCTCGCGCAGGATGTCCTTGTTCAGTGGCTTACGCGCAGGAACTATTGGGAATCGATCAGACTTTGGCCGATCAATACGAGAATATTATTTTGGAAGATAGGTAAGAGTGTTACATGATTATTTATCGATTGAAGATTTCTGTGGAAAATTTTATTCAATTATAAAACATGCGACAATTTTAAGTCGTAGTAAATATGAGGAAATAAAAATTCCTATCGTCAGCTTACTAAAATAATGGCTGACTCATGGAATTTATGTGCAATTCCCTTATCGAACTCGTTAAAATGCAAATTTTATTGCCTACATTTTTATTGCATTTTGTTTAATTTTTAGACGTCTCTCGAGTCTAAACCTGGGATCAGAAAATTCTACTTTAGGGCTTCTAAGGCCTGGCTTCACAAGAATCAGTCTTCCGTATTTTATAAACGACTCAGAATTAGCTTTTGTGATGGAGGCCGTTAAAATGGTGGCCACAGAAGGCTGGAAACTATTGCCTCAATACGTTGTGGATTTGGAAACTGCAGAATGGAGACATCATACAAATGCTGTGCATAAAGACAGAAAATGGTTGTCTTCAATAAGGTATGATGATGAGGCAACTATTAAATGAATTCGGTTAAAAATATTGTTTCTTCTAGGTACATCGATGGTAAAATGACAATGAACGAACGTCGGATTTCCGGTCCAGGCCTGTTTCCCCAAAATTACTCAGAATGTCTACAAACTGCCCGAAATCTTTTCAACAGAGCAAGAAAAACGGCCAACCGAATCCCGTATCAGGACCAAGGCATCGTGTTCGATAGCCGAGGCGAAAAACTGCGCTGGTTCATACTACAACACGAAGCCCAAGCTCTATTAACCAGCAACGCCCAAGCCGTCAAGCAAAAAGTCCCATTCGATCCTGGCTCTTACATGAGCACAAAGAAGACTGATAATAATAAGCATTGCGATGAACAGCCGCACACTTCTACAGCCGTTCACCATCAGGCGCATAACAGTAGTATAGAATCACCAAGACACTACAGCCTACCATCTCTGGATGATCCTAAACTGATGCAATGTTCGTCACCGGTGCCATATTTTTTGCAGGACGTCAATGGACTGTACTATCCACAAATGTCACAACCTACAGTGAATTTTGCAGTTGGAGAATCCATGAATTCGGCTAATTTACATTTGCAACAACAGAATTATGCTAGGGACAGGTAAGAATTATTGTTTCTTTTGAGGTAGAGAGTGTTAACAGTTTTCGTGTTTAGGTGCTTGAGTCTTGGACATCCGAACGTGTCGCCGCCTGTTTTGAGCCCTCAAACTCGGGCCAGCTTAGGAATGAGCGCGTTCAGAACACGGCAGATGAGCTGCAGCAGTCAAACCGATATGCACTCGTTGGATTCCGACGCCAATCTTTCTCCCACTCACAGCTTGAACATTTTATCCACTAGCTCTATTGATTGTAGCCAGGTAAGAATTAGTATATCTATGATCAACCTATCCTATCTAATAAGTATGTAATAATGCTTCACTTTTCAAGTAAACTCTATATTTTCAACAATTAGGCTCTCCAAACCACGTGATTTTTCAATATGGCGACCGTGGAAAATTTGACGTATGTTTATCTTGAGTTTATTTGAAATATTTTCAAGCTAATTACAGTTTACTTTGTTATAATATACTTTTTGAGATGCAGAGTGAATATTTAAAGACTTGAATGCAGGAAAATCGGGATCTGGGCGAACGGTTAGTTTGAAAAATGTCCAGATGACATTTTGATCCACAGTTCACATTAATGAGCAAATGAAGGCCTACAAAAGCTTAGATTCTTACGAATATTTCGAAAATGGCTTTTTCTGCAATTGACAAGAAATGTCAGCATTTTTGACTGGTTGACAGGTCGCAAAACTCAATATCCTGGTATTTCAATTATGTTTCAATAGTTGCTAAGGAATCCATGAATAACAATACGGGATTCTCGTATTGCTGAATAATTAGAACTAAAAGACAAACATTTAACAGGTATTTACCCGATCGCAGAAAAAATAGTATGTGTATTTCGGTGGAAAATCACATTCTTGGCCTTCGGTGTTTGCCGGCCTCGGCTACGCCTCGCCCGTCAACTTACACCGTCGGCCGAGAATGTGCCACTTTTCCACCTAAATACACAATATACTATTATTTCAGACGCAGGAACAGTGGTAGTGAAAAATTTTCACGTTTTAATTGGAAAATTTTAAAACAAAGGGCAATGAAAAAAGCCTGACATCATCCTTGTTACCTTGTTGAAACTACTTCCACAATCGACTTCAAGACCCGTTTGTGGCATTTTTAATTGGAAGAAAACACTAATGAAGTCAATAAAATAAAAAAATAAATAGAGTTCATTCACAAAACAACCACAAAAAGCACTTTAAAAAACTTTAAATTACATACTCTCATATACGGGATAATGAACTTCCGCCACAACGCACTTTTTGATTGGTCGTTGGAATGCCTAAGATGACAACACTTCAAACTCTACCTTAACCAGTTATACAGTAAAGGTAAAAGGTACAAAAATACCGGATGCTGAAGACATAACAGTCGTCCCTCGTAAATCTTCATTAAATTCATTTTCTGAACTGGCTTAATTTTGAAGACGTAAATGGGCATTAGACGTCGAAGCCTTAAAAGCATCACAATTTGTAGTATTTTTTTTTTAAATTCAATAACGTAATTTGCAATAGTTTCTTCTTCTTGTTGAACACGTGTTGTGAACCGATCTTATTCTGCGATTATACTTGAAGTAGGATTTATATGGGTTTGCAAAAGAGAAACCAAGGTCGAATAATCTTTAGATTTAGGATCATCTGGATATCTTAAAGAGTAAATAAGTTCTAGACTTTTGGTACCCATTCTGTGAAGTAACCATTCCTTCTTTTTAATATCAATATAGTCTGCTGTACCAGTAAAGTTCTTCATAGAAAAAAATTATCTAACCTTTTTATAAACATCTCCCAAGTTTCATTTTCTTCAGATGGATCTAATGAAATGGATTCTTGAGTACCTAAATGTAGTAGTTGATTAACTTGCAGAGTCTTCGTAAGTGCAGCCAACAAAGTATTAAACTGTTCAACATCCATCCTAAAGGGTTTTCTCCGGTCTCGTCGCCAATTTAATATGTATTTGCTTTGGGTATTAACGTAAAGTGATACAATAGATTTATTTGTCACTCATTTGTAAAACGTCACTTATCAAGTCAAAACATAACCAGCGAAAATTGATTTTTACAAGCTACTGGCTCTACTGACTTGTAAAATTGACAGCTAAACTGTAAAAACTTTTTACAAGTCAGTAGAATTATTTATTTTTGAAAAATCGGTTTTATCACAAGAATAATTGCTTGTAGGTACCTTCTGGGAGACTTTTCTGGTGATAAACTGTTGGCTACGACTGAGGCTTCATTAATAATATCTTGTAATAAATTCATTTCTGGAAAAAAATTGCAAAATGGAAATCTGTCAAAAAACCTATTTATAACTAGAAACAACGTCTTAACAACGTATCATTCTCATAGTTATACCAACTACCAAAACTTCTGTGAGAAAAAATCAAGGAAAAACATATAAATTTCAAATTTTTGTTATGTATTGATTTTTTATTTGTCCCTATATCTTTTACAAATGAGTAACAAATAAATTATTGTACATTATACGCCAGGTAGCAGTTTTTACTGGCTCTTGAAGGTGACAAGCTCGCCTGGCGGCTCGCTAGTCATTTCCTTCAATCGCCAGTAAAAACTGTTTTACCTGGCTAATAATGTAAAATACTATAACGTTTTCTGACAAGTCGATATGATTTCGTTTCCGTGTATGTTTCCTATCCGGTTTTTGGGAGGAAGACTGCTTCCGCTATTCTCTATGCTACTGGCACATAGCCCAGTAGCAATGCATGCTCGGAAGATACTATAAAGATGTGGAGCCAGTATGTCTAGTTCCTGACCGAAAAGAGCCGGGTAAATTCCATCAGGCCCCAGTGACTTATAGGATTCAAATGTGCTAACAGCTCATTTGATTTTGTAGTGACGTGATCACAGCTGCTACTCTTTAGTCATTCCTTCTCGCCCTGTTCGTCAGGTTCCGGTTGTTGTATGCTTAATCCCGGCAAGTGCACTGGAACGAGAGCCTCCATCATCTCTTTACCAGTCGTCGTGAACTCCCCTGTTGGTTGTCTGATTACCCCGACTGAGTTGTTATTTTCCCCATTGAGAATCCGCTGCCTTCCTTAGGGCTTTGTTCATTGTTGGTGTGTGTCCCAGTCACCAGTGAATTTTGCCCTGTTGAATAGTTTCCTAGTGCGTTGGTATTCAGGTTAGCTAAGTGACTGTTCCACCATGGTGCTTCCTTCTTGGTTCCTTTGGTCCTAGGATGACAGTTGTTTTTATAAGCGGTTATGATAGCAATCTGAAGTTAATTCACACATAAGTCGATATCTGTAATTTCTCTCGGGTTGGCGTTGAAAGCGATCAGGCCCTATTCGAACTCATCCTCGTATAGAGTATAGAGGCCAGTTTGTGTTGCTCTGATTACGATAAGTGGTCCCTGCCTTGTGGAATTCTATGTACCTGTGGCCAGAGTGTTCATTTGAAACTCGCCATTTGTTAACCTTGTCGTATATCGCGGATATAGCCAAGGTTATGTCGATCACCTCCCTACGCCTTGCAGTAGCGAAGGTAGGTTCATTTCCCTTATTTGTAGCAAAAACATCGTTACTTATCAGATATTCCAGCAGCAGATTGCCGCGAGGGATGTCATTCGTGCTGCTTCAGCTCTGCTGTGTGAATTTGCGTCGCATCCCACTAGTAGCTGGTGGTGGTGGGCTACGCAGTATTCTACAAAAGTGTTAAGCTGTGCGGAAGGCGGCGGCAAGTCCGAGTCATGGGAAGTATTATCAACTGGTCTATAAATAAAACCACTCTGTACATCAAAAACCCATTAACTAAAACTAGAACACAGTTTATCAATAATCAGCAGTTTAAACAAGTCAACGCCTAAACTAATGTTTACACGAAATGAAAAAAAAAGCATCGCCGCCTATTATACGTGCGGGAACCAGTTGCATCCCCGTATATGTACGTAGTGCCCCGAACATGTGGCGCACCTACGTAGTGGCCCTTTGGTGATGTACTCACCAGCAGACAATATACGTTAATCTTCTTTTTGTAGTTGTGTGTTTTCCTGGAGAGCAACTCCCAACCTCAGGGCCTACGCTTATTAGCTGCGGGGCGTGTGACAGTATGCAGAGGCGATTATGACCTTCACATTCCCATCTTCTCTGTATTCAAGTTTGGCGGTCGCTAGGTCCCTAGAACATAATTTGGGCAGTGGGATGCATTCTGTGTCTTTTTGGACATTAATGTACGCCCTTGCATTATCAGATATTGTGTCATGAGGGCTTTACTTTTGAATACATTTATTTCTATTCTTCCTAACGCATTTCAATAAAGAATAGTTCTTATTTTTCTTCCACATGTCCGATTTTCTCTCGAGATGTGTATTGGATGGACTAGAAGGCTTAAGGAAGGATTGTTTTCTAGTTCAGCTACATTGCTTTCCTTGTATAGTAATAAGATCACGTTGTTGAAGAGACAAAAAATTATATTCTAAAAATTTTTGCAGTTGGGTCGAGCATCACCAGCCCCAGATCTCCAAACCTACGTGACTGAAATGACCAAAGAACTAGCCACGAACATCAAGTCTGAGATTAGAGAGGTGATTTCCAAAGTCGAAGATGTCCTAGAGAACACCGACAGCGACAGAGACAATTCGTTTTTCTACGAGCGCAACGGAAGCGGAAGCGAAGACGGCCGCAGTGATTCGATTTCAGCGAACGAAGTGGCCGAATATTTGGAAAAAATCTCAATCGAAATGGCCAATGAAGTCAAGTCGGAAATACGCGACGTTGTTAGTGCCGTGGACGTTTTTATATCTCCTGAATGCAATCAGCTGACGTACTCTAGATCTAGTCCTCCTAGAAGCAATTACACACCTGGAAGTAGCAGCGACACTGTGATAAATTTAATTAGTCCTGCTGGATCTTCGAAAAGAGAAGAAAACGGTACCAAGTGCAAAAGCAAAATATTACCCGCATCTACAGTTGCTAGCCTTAGCTCACAAGACAGGTAATACAATAAAATATTTTTTTAAAAATTATCACTTCACATTGAATTTCAGTGGCATAAATATGTCTTTCCACGAACAAGAACACTTCCAGTTGAACTCGGGCGGCGAATTTAAGGCCCGCAGTAACTCCGATTCACGCGGCCATAGAAAATCCGACTCGGAAATTAAGTTTTCCACTTTGCAAAAGAAAAGGCCGTCGATGCATCGCGATATGAGCGACGATCCGGGAAATTTGGAAAATATCGTTTTGAAACGTTGGAGTTGTTCCGAGAAAAACTTATGGTCGCCTAGCGTTCAAGCTATCACCGAGTACCAAATGATCAAAGATGGTAATACTGATTATTGTTTTGTTGTTAACATCAATTCACATCTCATCAGATCTCATTAACAATAATCTTGAAGCTCTTATGAGCAAAATCAATATTAATGAGGATAGGATGGTCCTGGTTAGATGTCACGTGTTGCAATAGAAGAATTAATAAGTTGCGAGTGTAAATTATATTTATCAATTTTCAGGTGACAAAGTTATGGTATGTCTCTCAGGAGGCAAAGATTCTCTAGGTCTTCTGCACACTTTATTACAATATCAAGCCCACGTCCAAAAACAAGGAGTACTATTTAGTATCGGCGCTATAACCGTGGATCCAGACTCTTCCGGATGCGATCCTTGTATTTTAATTCCTCATTTGAAAACGCTAGGAGTTCATTATATTATAGATGACAAAAAGAGTGATCCTGGAAGCGATACTGGTTAGTCTGAGTTGGTTTGAGTTGATTTTGGTTTTTAATTTTTTAGTTTTTTAGAGAAACTTGAAGAAGCCAAAGAAAATTTGTACAGTTTCTGTACAAGTACTCTCAGACGTCGACTCTATTCGGCAGCTAAGAGTAGTGACTACAACGTACTGGCCATCGGTCAGCATTTGGATGATTTATGTGAAAACTTTTTGCTTTCTGTATTTCACTTGGGAAAAATGAGGAGTATGAGAGCACATTATTACATAAAGTAAACATTTAAACGATTTAGATTTCAAAACTAATGACAATTTTCTAGGGAGCATGATTTAAGAGTAGTAAGGCCATTAGTCTACGTAAGAGAAAAAGCATTGCGTCAATTTGCTAGTAACGAAAACCTACCAGTGTCCAATGTCCAAAGTCCGAACTTATCCAAAGAACGTCAACGCATCAAACAACTGTTAACGCAACAGGAAATATTATTTCCTAATTTGTTTGTTAGTCTCAAAAACGCTTTGCATCCTCTAATAGGTGAGAATACTCAGTTGATTGCTGGAATTTTTCAATTACCCTAAATGTTTTTAGGTTTTCAAATAAGAGAGTGCGAACTTAAATGCAGAAGGCTTTCGAAGAGTTCTAAAGATCAAGATGATTGGCACGAAGAAACTGACGAGGAACCCATCGTAACTGATGACTGATTTTTTTTTTAATTTAATTTTTCTTTTAAAGTACAAAATGATTTGGCGATATTATTGTATTTTTTCATTGTCTTTTTTATTTATAAATTTTATTGAATTAGGAATGATCTCGGAATCGGTTATGGTCTTAAATACTTACATACTTATCAATAAAATTATACTTTGCAAAGTCAATTTGAAACCTTTTCTCGAAAATCCAATAAACCTGAATATAGTTTTTTGAGCTAAACAATTTAGAAAAGATTTGTCGATTTTTGAGATACTGAACAGGTGTAAAAGTTTTTGAATTAACTTTGTATGTAAAAATTAAACAGAAAACACCAAATTTATAATGTTTTATTATTGAAAATGTGCCATTTTAAAGTTAGGCATTAAAATAGGCTATAGTTCTGAGCCATTTGTCGTGTGATATTTTAAATTTCTAAGAGGAATTTGAAAAATCGCAATCTATTAATTAAGATATCTACAATGAATATCTTTATATTTGACTTGTTTTGTTACTAATATGTAAGCATTGATTATTAGAGTTAAGATTTGAAAAGGTAAAACTAATTGGATTGAATGTTTTCAGACACTACTGTATCAAAAATGAGTTAGTCTATTTATTTCTTCATGTAATCAAACAATTTATTATTACACTGTCAAGGAGAAAACAATAATTATTAACAATTTATACATATTTTTAATTTTTTGTCAGAATATTGTGATTGAAAAATTAATTCACTCATTAATTAAATATTACGTTGAATTGTAGAATCGTTTTTTGTTAAGTTAATGTTTTTTAAATGGTTTGTTATTTTTGTAAATTAAATTGTTAAGAGTATAATATTTATATTTTGGCAATTAATATAAACTCATATTATCTTAAAAAAATATGAGATAATCGAGAAATGCATAAACTTACTCACAATATTTATTCCATAAACTATATTTAATTTATATTTATTGAATTTAAGTGTTTTACTTATTTTTAATAATACTTATAGGTATATGTAGATAACACTTCCAGTCATTATTAAAAAACGAAAGAAAGTGATTTTTAAATAATATATTTTACGATTGTTTTAAAACGATGGGAGGCTATATTTAAAGATTGTTGAGAAACACACGTGTAAAAGTGAATATTTTAAAAATAAAATAAATAAAGTAGTACATTTTAGTATTAATCATCCACAGCGAGTCTGGAATAATCGTTTTAACCCCAAAAATTGCTCCATTTCCATAACTCACAGGCCACAATCATAAGTAGTAGGGGAGAGCGCCCAGTCAGTGGTCACTCTTTTTTTATTTCTAGTTTATTTCAAAAATACAAAATTAACAAGATGCTAATCAAATTTTAAGTGAATACAGGTTAAATATTGAGCTAATACAAACTGAATGAAGATAAATCGACTGAAAAATAATGGAGTCGAGTTCTTGCAGTTCCTGATAGAGGCATCAGTTTCAATTCGAATTTTTCTGATAGGGGCAGACACAATGCTCAGAACACAGAAAATGTTGAAGATGAGGATAATGCTATATCTTTTTTAAGTACGTTTCAAGGAACCGATGACGATAGTCACAACAACCAATATGCAAATATGTCTAATACAGAAATTGTGAAATTTATTGTTGATAGTAGAGCAACAAATCATTTAGTAAAGCAAGATTTTGGCAGAAATATACTAACTGGAAGGAAATTGTGTCCGAAGATAAATGTTGCAAAACAGGGGGAGACATTAGTAGCCAAAGTAGAAGGTGATTTGTTTTTGAAAACCAATTCAGGTAACTTCTTCGCAGAATCGCACCTATCACCCCAATTGAAGTATCCCGTGCAGCCTATATGGGACTCTTCCAATCTAGGCTGTCATACGGCCTGCTTTTCTGGGGATGTTCTGTTGACTGGCCAAAAGTTTTTAAAATCCAAAAAAAAGCCATCAGAACGATTGGAAGACTGAAACCAACTGAAAGCTGCAGACCTTTTTTTCGTGATCTCCAAATACTGACCCTACCAGGTATGTTCATATACCAGTGCCTCAACTACACAAGAGCACATATATCTGAATTCTTAACAGTCAATAGCAGACATCACTACCCGACTAGACATGGTGAAGACTTATTAATTTACCAACACCGACTAACACTAACTCATAAAACTTACATTAATAACAGCATAAAACTTTATAACTGCCTGGCACCTGAGATCAAAGCTCTGCCTCCTATTATGTTCAAAAATAGAATAAAAAAGTTACTTTTAGAAATGTCTCCTTACACTTTGGAAGAATTCTATGTCAATTATAGATAGGAAAACAATATGTTTGTCATAATAATTGTTTGTTTTGTATCATCACTTATTATTGTTTAATTTATTACTACTTATTGTTGAATTGTGTCTTCTATCTTTTGAAGTTATATCTGTACTGTATTTGTTCACTTATATAGTCGTTGACAATGCTAAACATTTTATTGTATTTGAGCAAATAAAGAATTTTATTATTATTTTATTATTTATAACTATGCCCATAAAAATGAAAAATGTATGGGTTTGTGAAAATCTGCTATATAATTTGCTGAGTGTTAAAAAATTGGAACAGAGGACTGGAAGTAATATTCAAAGATGGAAAAGTAAGCGTGTATTGAAAAACTGTGTTGAATTATTCCAAAGAACTTTAAATGGAAACTTGTATGTTGTTAATTTTTATTGGAATCTTGAAGGACATAGTGTAATACCGAGTGCAATACTCACCAGAGACAATGACATGTTAATGCATCGGAAAATGGGTCATTCTTCAAAATATCCAGCTCCAGGATTATATGCAGTATGTTTACAAGGTAATAAACCAAATTGAAATTTTTGCAAGAAACTGATGAAGACAAAAAGGCGAAAAAAATATTAGACATTGTTTCAAGTGACATATGTGGTCCAATAAACCCTGCAACTTATGATGGTAAGCAATATTACATTTCATTTATTGATCATTATTCTCATTTTTGCATTTGTTATTTAATCAAAAATAAAAGTCAGTCTCTAGAAAAGTTTAGAAATTATGTATAAATAGTTGAAGCAAAATTTAATATGAAAATTTGTAAATTAAGATATGACAATGGAGGAAAGTATACCTACTTCTCGTGATTTTCAGGATTTTTGCAAAACAAAAGGAATATTAATTCAGTATAATGTTGCCTACAACCCTGAGCAAAATGGGGTTGCTGAGCGCTTTAATCGTTCAAAAATGGAAAAAGCTCGATGTTCAATGTTTGATTCGCAGCTTGAAAAATATTTATGGGGCGGAGCTATTTTAACATCAATATATTTAATTAATAGGACAAGACTAGAGCACTGAATGACAATAGAATTCCAGCTGAAATTTGGCATCGAGAGAAGCCTGATTTTGAGAAAATTGAACTGGTTGTTTAGCATATAATCTTATACCTAAGGAATTAAGAAAATCAAAATTAGATTCACATTGTAAAAAAATAATTATGATTGGATATAAAAACAATGGATATTGACTCTGGAATCCCAATCAAGTCAAGGTTATTCATGGAAGGAATGTCGTTTTTGAAGAAACTAAAGAATTAAAACAACCAAAAGTTTATATAGATGATAATCCAGAACAACAGGAAAATAAAGAAGAGGAAACTGAACAAGAAACGGATAGGAATAAGGTGGAAGAAAATTTGAGAACGATAGAAAAAGTTGGAGTGGAACAAACAAAAACTAGGCTATGATCTTGAAAACGACGAGTTCAATCATCTTACAGCATTGTCAACTGGAAACGTACCTATCAGATGAAATGCCACAGACTTATGCAGATGCTGTAAGAATAGACAAAGGATGGAAAAATGCTGTTAGCGAAGAACTTACAGTGTTGGATGAATTTAATACATGGAAACTAGTAATGCCACCTGAGAATGTCGAAATTATTGACTCAAGATGGGTTTTCTGTGAAAAAGTAGTGGTTGAAAAAGTGTAAAAAAGCACGATTAGTGGCTCGTGGATTTAAGCAGAGTGCATTCAGTGAAGACGTATATGCACCTGTATCACGTATGTCTAGTATAAGAATATTGTTGTCTTTATTCATTGAATATGATTTGTATGTAATTCAACTTGACGTGAAGTCAACCTTTTTGAAAGGAACTTTGAAAGACCCAGTTTTCATGCAACCTCCAGAAGGTTTAGGTTATTGTTCGTCGATTTTAATCTGATACTCGGACGGAATGTGAGCTGGTGTCTCCCTACATTAGAACGCCAATGGTTTCCTGAAGTTACACCTCTTTTTGCCATATGAAACACCCCCTCGCTCCTCATTCCGCAAGTATCAGTTAAAAATCGGCGGACAATAGGTCATAGAGAAACAGACTAAAAAGAGAGTAGCGAATTAAACGAGAGAGATCGGCACCACTGTATCCCTGTAGCGCCTCCGTGAGCTACAGATGAACTAAACTTGTGGGACGCATGGCGGGAAATTTAAATTGGTACTGAAGATTATTTGGTTTTAATAGAAATTTTTAGGGAAAAAAAACAATACCTAATTCTTTATCAAGCTAGTTTTATTGAAAAAATTATTAGCGGCATTTTTCAAGCAATAATGAAATAAATAATAACTCTTAAAATATAAATAACTAGCTGACCCGGCGAACTTCGTACCGCCTCTGAATTATTAAATATACCTATTAAATGTTGTGTTAACGTATCTATTAGCTGAATTAAATTCAGTTTTTTTCGATGGTGAATTTGGCTTTGGTTGAAGAAAATTAATGTTTACTCTCTGGATCAGAAGGCACCTAGAATTAAAATTTTACATCATCCTTTTTTAGGCAGCTTGTGGGCATTATTCTTGTAAAGTGTACCGCCAAATAAATAAACTCAGGCACAGGAATGCTCAAAGAATGTAAAGAAAACAAAAAAAATCTCTAGCGCAGCCCTATTTCACTCTATCTGCACTGCATGCACTGCACTACTCCATCTGTTCTACTCTATCTGCACTACTCTATCTGACCTACTCTTTCTGCACCACTCTATCTGATCGGAATAGTGGAATAGTTCTGTGCAGCATTGTTCTAATGTAGGCGCGTTTGTTTATTCCCTCGAAGTGCGGAGCGTGTGGAGCTTGAGCTACCTTGGACAGAGGTCAGCTGATCATCGAGCAAACCGAGCTTGAAAATCTTGAAATAAAAAACGAACGGGTTTGTGTATCTCGAACCATACAACAGCTGCGCTCTGTGCGCACCGTACGCTCGAAATTTTGAATGACGTTCGTTTATTTTCTTTCGAGCGTGTCGAAAAAAACTTTTCGCGTTCGTAAATACGTCGAGAGAGTGTATCGAGCTCGCTCGATTTGCTCGGAATTTTTTGATGGTGTGGAGGGTGCAGCGAGCGCCGATTTAAAAAAATTCTAAACCTACTAAGCTAGTAAAAGTAAAATTGATTTCCTTCGTGCGTGCAGAAAACGCGTTTTCACGCACCGATTTGCGTGGAAGTACCACTTTTCCGCACAGCGTGCATGAGAATAAATTTACCGCACGAAAAGTTTTTCACGCACTGTTTTTTTTTTTCAATTTTTCTCTCACCATAAATAATTAATCCTACTCATAGGTAATACAAATAATTGTTAATATGCTGTTATAAACTTATTGCTTAAACTTAATTAAAAAATCACATTTTTGACCATTTCCTTTATCAGTAGAGAAAAAAACAAACAATTTCCGTACGCTCGTAGAAAAAATGTTGTACCTAACACGAGCGTGAGGTATTTTCCGCTGGCGCGTTCCGTTGCGTGTGGAAAAATATAACTACCCACTTATCCACACTTGATAGGTGAATAACTATTTCGTTTATGTTAGTTCAAAGTTTTTTAGTTTTTGTGAGTGTATGACGCAATCGAATTTTCGTGACGAATGTAGTTCATTAGTTTAAATTTTGTATTACAAGATCCACCAGAGATCTGGGTTTTGTGCATGGGCGAAGTTAGGGCATCAGATCTGGGGGGGCTACAGCCCCAGGCCCATACTGCCGCCCTCAATTAAAACGCGGTATCTGCAGCAAACATGAAAATGAGATAACGGCGCCTAAAGTTTTTTCTCTGGATTTTGGGTTTGAATTGATTTCTTATCACGAAAAATGTACAGTGGTAGTTGGAAATATAGTTAAATTAAATGTTAAATTTTTAGGTGAAAATCGCCGTAACTGCATTA